AGCTCCGGCGCTGCCGGCGCCCTTCCCGCCTCGCCTCTGCTGCCTCTCTGCCCGTGTCCAACGCGGTGGCTGCGACTCGCTCTCCTCCATAAATAAGCGTGTCGAGGTAAAAATAATTACCTCTGCTTGCTGCTTTTAATTAAAGTCTCGGAGGGAAAGTGCTGGATTATGGTAATGAGCAGACATACGTTCCCTCTTGTAGACCCGAGCGGGAGGTTAGCTGACATGCAGTCACTGACAATGACAAGCCACTTGAAACCCATTCGCTCTGCTCTCCTGTCACGGCGCGGAGAGCTGCCCGGGCTCCTCTCCCGGAGCGGGCCACGGAGCTCCGGGCAGCCCGGGCCCCAGCCCCGCACCTCGGCTCGCGCGGAGGCCCGCGGGCGGCAGCGCTTTTTGTCCACCTCCTGCTGGGCCCGCATCCCTACCATGGGTTTTGCTCCCGCTCCGCCTGCGTGGCCTCGGCTCCCGTAGCGCTCGCAGCCGGGGTCGCTAATAAATAAATCACCGCGACCGCTTCTCCGCACCTCGCCTCCCGGAGCTCCTCGCCTTCTTGATTTTCTTCAAGCCGGGAAAAGTGCTTGCCTGCCTCTGATTTTTTTGTTTGCTTGTTTTCGTATCTTTTTTATATTTTTTTAATAACAACTATTTTTACAAAGATATTTTTGCCCTGTGCTCGGAGGCTCTTGCGGCCTCCGCGGGGCCCCGGCCGCCTCCCGGCGCGGCGCCTCCTTCCCGCGGCGGCGCCGCCGTTATGAAACGTGGCCGCTTTGCCTCCCCTCTCTGCCTGCAGGGATGGAGGACCCCGGCGTCCAGAGGGGGATATGGGATGGAGACGCCAAGACCGTCCAGCAGTGCTTGACTGACATTTTCACCAGCGTTTACACCACCTGCGACATTCCGGAAAATGCCATTTTTGGCCCCTGCGTGCTGAGCCACACGTCTCTGTACGACAGCATCGCCTTCATCGCCCTCAAGTCCACCGACAAGCGCACCGTGCCCTACATATTCCGGGTAAGGTTCCCCGTCGGGGACCGCCCGCCCTCCTGCCCGGCTCCGCGGCGGGGAATCAGCCCCGCGAGGGGACGGGCGCCGCTGGATCCCGATTCGGGGGCGCCAGCGGGCGCCGCTGCCACATCCTTTCTGGCGTCTCGGTCTCCCTTCGCCCGACTCTGTTTGTTTATTTGTGTGTGTGTTTGTTTTGTTTTGTTCTGATTGTACGTGATTTTTTTTTTCCTTTTTTTTTGTTTCTTTTGGGGACTTGGATTTCTTTGCAGGTGGACACGTCGGCGGCGAACGGCTCCTCGGAGGGGCTCATGTGGCTGCGGCTCGTGCAGTCGGCGCGCGAGCGGGAGGAGCAGAACCTGGAGGCCTACATCAAGAGCGGGCAGCTCTTCTACCGCTCGCTGCGGCGCATCGCCAAGGACGAGGAGCTGCTCGTGTGGAACGGCAAG